ATATATCTAAAATCCCCACAACAACAGCAACATCACATCGCTGCATCTTGTCATCGTCGATTCAAACCAATTAAGAAACAAGGATTTAACACGAGCACTCCAGCTTGCATTATTCCGAACCACAACAACAATCTTTAATCCCACTAATCCTTCAGGGTTGCAGCGTCACAAGCCACGTCCTTGTTACTGTGCCACGCCCGGATCTCCTCTATCAAGTCGCTCAGCCCCTTGTGCGACGACCCGCCTTCCTTCACCGCCGCCCGCGCCGTCTCCCCGTACTCCCTCGCCCTCCTCCTCATCCTCTCCGCCTCCTCCCCGCTGTCCATCACCCACCCCACCGCCCTCGCCAACTCCGCCGCGCCCACCACCGCCCTCTCCTCCTCCAGCGTGCTCCCGGGCCCTTCCGCCGCCCTCACGCCCACCCGCAGCACCCCCACCACCAGCTTCTCGTTCATGAACTGCTCCGTTGACAGCGGCCACGTGACCATGGGCAGCCCGGCGCTCACCCCCTCCAGCACCGAGTTCCACCCGCAGTGTGTCACGAACCCGCCCACCGCCGCGTGCGCCAGTATCGCCACCTGCGGGGCCCATCCTCGGACCACCAGCCCCCGGCCCTCCACCCGCCGTTCAAACCCCTCCGGCATCCACTCGTCGCTGCCGTCCCTTACCACCCACAGGAACGGGTGGCCAGCCGCCTCAAGGCCCAGAGCCATCTCCCGGAGCTGCTCTCCAGTGAACTGGCTCCAGCTCCCGAAGCAAACGTACACCACCGACTTCGGCTCCTTCGCGTCCAACCACAAGAGGCAGCGGGCGCGGTTCGCGGCGGCGATCGGATCGTCGCCGCCGCGTGTGGCAAGGCTGCTGCCCTGACCCGCGGCGGCGAGCGCGACGGGTCCCACGAACCAGCTCCGCATGTTGCATGTCTTGTAGTAGTACTCGGCGTAGGCCGACTCCATCTCGACGAAGCTGTTAACGACGACGCCGAGGCTCCCGGACTCCGCGGCACTGATGTCGTCCATGGCGGCGCCGATTTGGGTGTTTCCGCGGAGGAAGTCAGGGAGCTCCCGACGGACCATGTGGATGGGGTGTGGGAGGTTGGGCACGAGGAAAGGTACGTCGTCGCCGGCGACGGCGAGGTGCGGGAGGTTGGTGAAGAGCGAGTTCATCATGCACACGGGGAAGAGGCCGAGGGCCTGGAAGGTGAACCTCGGGACGCCGAGATCCCGCGCGACGAAGGTGGTCCAGGGGAAGTGGACGTCGGCGACGACGGCGTCGGGGCGGTGAAGGCGGAGGAGGCGGTCGTGAGCGGGGCGGACGAAGGGGGTGGCGACGTCGATCTTGTAGGACTCGGAGGGGGGAAGGGCGCTGATGTTCTCGACGCCGGGGGGTAGGCCGGACTCTGACGAGGGGAAGGGATAGATGAGGGTGCGGATAGGGAGGCCAGAGTCGGCAGCAGCGTCGACGGTGGCTTGGATGAGGGCGGCATTGGCGGGGGTGACGAGGACGGTGGAGTCAACGCCTCGGGCAGCGAAGAGGCGGGCGATGTCAACCAAGGGGATCATGTGCCCGGTGGCGAAGAAGGGGATGAAGAATACACGGAGGGGGGCGGGCGGTGCCTCTACCGAGCCCATGATGGTTTAGCCGGCAGCTGAGCGCGGAGGAGGAGGCGTACAAACAAACAGGAACAAGTTATTAGTGATCCGATGACTCAGTTTTTACGTCCATATGTACTCGGTGGTAGGTAACGATGAGTCAATCAGCATCTGCCAGCTTGATCTTTTAGATCGGACGTACATGGAGATGCGCGTACGTGTCAGACCACGACACTCGATCGGTCGGCAGGTACATCGGAGTTTTGAAACCGATCTGAGTCGGTCACGTGAAGCACGCATCGCACTGGAAATCCAATAGTAAAATATTCTTTTTGGGTTTCGTTTCGGAAATGTATTCTTTTGATACGTATCGCATCTCAGCCGTCGACGCCACCAACCCCCCTGTCCTTTTCTTCACATACGAGATGTGATCAGTAGTTGATAAAAGATGTACATAACGGACGAAGGTCAAAGCTATTCACCACTGCGCGCGACTTCTTCTGGGCTGCTCGTGTGTGTGTCGAGCGAGACAGTAGGAAGTGCCACCAAGCCGCCTCCATGGGCTCCGTCGACGCTGCCTCCACCGCCCGCCCCCTCCATGTTGTATTCTTTCCCCTGATGAGTCCCGGCCACATGATCCCCATGGTCGACATGGCCCGCCTCTTCGCCCTCCGCGGCGTCCGCTCCTCCGTCGTCACCACCCCGGGCAACGCTCACAGCGTCCGCCCCGCCATCGACGCCGCCGCCGCCCTCGGCCACCCCCTCGCCCTCCACCTCATCCCCTTCCCCGACCCTTCCGCCACCGGGCTCGCCCCCGCCTGCGAGAACCTCTCTGATGTCCCCGCCGCCCAGTTCGACAACTTCGTCAACGCCCTGTTCCTCTTCCAGGCCCCGGTCGCCGCCCTCCTCCGCGACCTCCGCCCCGACGCCCTCCTCTCTGACTCGCTTTTCACGTGGACGGCCGACCTCGCGGCTGACCTCGGTGTCCCCCGCCTCATATTCCACGGCGCCGGCGCCTTCCCGCAGTTCGTTATCTGCAACCTCCTCGGCCACTTCCCCTTCCTGGAGTCCTTCACCATGGACGGGCTCCCCCACCCGATTCGTCTCTACAAGGACGGCCTCCCGGAGCTCATGGACAACTTCGCATTCCTCCAGCTCCTCGGGGAGGCCGAGGCCAAGAGCTACGGCGTAGTCGTCAACACCTACCGCGAGATGGAGCCTGCGTACGTGGACTACTACAAGAAACACCACCCGCAGGGGCTCCGCGCCTGGTGCGTTGGGCCCGTGTCCCTCTGCTGCCGGGCGGCGGAAGAGGAGCGAGCCAAGCGCGGGGGCCTGCCGGCCACCGAGGCGAACCGGATTCTGTCCTGGCTCGACGGGAAGCCGGCGGGGTCGGTGGTGTACTTGTGCTTTGGTAGCCTCTGCCGCCTCGGCGTGGCGCAGCTACGGGCGATCGCAAAGGGACTGGAGGCGTCGGGCCGGGCGTTCCTGTGGGTGGTCCGGCGGGACGCGGAGGGGGGCCCGGAGGCGGAGGAGAAGTGGATGCCGGACGGGTTCGAAGAGCGCGTCCGGGGCCGCGGGCTGCTTGTGCGGGGGTGGGCCCCGCAGCTGGCGGTGCTGGGCCACGCTGCAGTGGGATGGTTCGTGACCCACTGCGGCTGGAACTCGCTGCAGGAGGCGGTGTGCGCCGGCGTGCCCATGCTCACCTGGCCGCTGTTCCACGAACAGTTCATCAACCAGGAGCTGGTGGTGGAGGTCATGGGGGCGGGGCTGCGGGTGTGGGAGGGCCTGCGGCGGTGCCGCTCGCCGGAGCAGACGCCGGAGCTGGTGAGCGCGGAGGAGGTGGAGGTGGCAGTGAGGAAGGCCACGGGGGGAGGTGAGGACGCGGAGGCGGTGAGGAGGAGGGCCAAGGAGTACGGGGAGGCGGCGAGGAAGGCGGTGGAGGAAGGGGGGTCGACGCACGAGGACGTCACCAACCTGATCAAAGAGCTGGAGGCGGTGCGGCTTCAGAAGGCGGGTCAGGGGGACGCAGCGCAGTGAACTGGGTATGCTGGTGGGCGACGAGCTGCTCACCTTCTTCTTCTTCTTCTGATGCTACTGCTGTTACTGTAGCTGTCGGCAAATGCTATGGCGTAGTTCAGCTTCTGGGCTTATATGTTCTCAAACAGTTTCTCTGTCACTTCAACTTGGAAATAAAATGCTGTAGCATCAACAAATAAATAGATGACACACGAAAAAATAAAATAATTCTGAAAGTGAAATACATTTAAATGAGGTCATATGTGATTTAACTTTATGTCACATATAATTTATTTTAATCATGGTTACAATGTAAATTGGCCGAATTTTTTAAAAAAATCTATCTTTTTTATATTCTTATTGGAAAGTGCCCTCCGTTTTAAAATATTTTTACAATATTTTTTCCCTTAATATCTAAAATATTTACAATCATCTATCCCTTTTTTATTATTTTTATATAGATAGATACATAAGATGAAACCATTTAGTTATAATATTTTTATATTATATTATAATATTTTTAATAATATCCAAAAAATATTATGATATAATATAAAAATATTATAACATAGTATATTTATATTATGTTATAGCATTTTCTTGTTATTATTGAAAATACTGTAGTCTAGTGTAAAAATATCATAAATATAATATTTTGATAAAATTTATATAAAAACATTGTTATTATATTTTATATTATATTTTATATTTTTTAATATTATTAAAATATTATACATACGAAAGTAAAACATTTAATCTCTATTCTCCTCGTATCGTTAATTTTATAAAAAGAACATGAATAAAAAAGATAAAAGCAATTTCACTATCCTTATCTGTTTTAAATTACTAATTTTACATAAACTTCTTTAATAGTATCGATAAAAAGATCTTTCACAAAAACTTCTCTCCTTCAATTATGCTATTGTTCCAACGACATATCAATAATCACGTCCGTAGTGTAAGAAAACGATAATGTATTTCAAAGGAGATCGAAGCATCGTCTCCACCCCTCTCGTAAGATATTCTAACATTCTTTTATTTGATACTACTCTTGTCCACCATTTTCATCAAACATAATATTTTCTCTTTCAGCATTTGTAGACTTGCTAAAGGAGCAAAAGTTGGATGATGGAATGCAATGATTGGTCTGATCATTATGATTCTTGCCTCACATCGTTGTCCTATGTTGTCCGAGAAAAGGAACAAGTGGATATATGACATCGTAGCCACGATTGTTGTTCTGATGAATGAGCTTGCTTTGTACTTCTTTCTCTTGCCTTCACTCTTTAGATAATCAATATTTGTAGTCAACCATCATGAAACACTACAGCAGAAAACACATAGATGAGAATAAACTTGCTAGATATTGTCATCCTTATGATACGTGAGATAGGCTACTTATGGACATAGTTAAAACAGAGCTGACTGCACACAAACTCCTGCTGATCTCAGGTCTCTTCAAACACAAGGAAAAATCTAATCCACAAGTGTAACATGCTCATTTTTTGTACTAAATCCGATTCGTTTTAAACTAGTTGATCAACAAACATCCCAATCTCCATGTACAGCTACACTGCCTTCTACAAATCATCTCATGCTTCATATGAGACAAACTAATCATCGTGACATCCACAAGTTAACGTTACTTTCTAAAAGAACCAGCGCATAGCTTTCATCGCGACCATTATTTTTCGATACATGACTCTGTTGAAAGATATAGAATCTTCTGTGAAAAAAATAAAAAAAATTAGAAGGGGATTAGAAAACTGCACAGTTCTTCGTATTGAAAGAGACACTCCTCTATCAGTGTCATGCAACAAAAACACACATAAACTTTAATAACAACAAGAAGATTAAATACTATAACGGTGAAATCGATATAATATACATCCATACTCAGATTAAAAAGTTGTTCCTACTCAAATTCACTGTCCAAAATGACCCAAGTTGTCCAAAATATCAAAAATTGTCCAAAATCATTAAAATTAACTAAAATAATTAAATTTTATACAAAATAACTAAAACTATCCAAAAGATCACTGTTTTCATGTAACCTGCAGTAAAACAAACACACATATATATATATATATAT